GAAGAGGGATGTCGTAATCCAAGCTACAAAATATTTGAAGGTAGGTAAATGACGATTTACCAATTTCCACCATGAAAAACGAAACAGATTATTTGGTTTTAATTGGATTGAAACTCCTAGATCTTTTGAGATTCATTGAACAATTCAATGGCATGTTTAAATCTCGATTATGCCCTTCAAGTTTGTGACTGGGATACCGAGGATCACAAACAAGGTGTGAATAACCATGCAAATTAACTTGGTACTCTTAATTTTATCACCTAATCGATGTGCCGGTTAACCACACACGCTCCACCGATCTATGATAAACCTTAAGCCACCCTTTGCCACCCTTGTTAGTCCAAGTTAGTGTGCCGGTTAACCACACACACTCCACTAATGACTTAGCAAGGTGCAAAGTGTAATTTCATGGGTTAGCATCAATTTCACATTTTCCTAAAGTAACTAAGATTAGGAATTTAAAAAAGGTTTAGTTACTTTATATTTATCATTATACTTTTAATGAGAACTATAGTCCTTGTCCTACCCGTTCGGCTAACTACCCTCCACCAGTCAAGGAAGCGGTAGGTGAGAGTGGACACCCATTAAGCTGCCATTTTATAGGCAACAACCTTATACCCCCCTTATAGACTGGCTTCGTGAATGAGGCCTATTAATGGTAAGACTGACTTGTTCTTATACATATATATAATTATTAGACTTTTAATAATATAATAGTATAAGGGTTAAATTTTAAACTTTTAAAATTCTAGGGTTTGGAATTAAAGTATTCTAAAGTGACTTTACAAATTCCAAAACTTGAGGGCAAAAATTTTGAAACTATTCAAAATCTTTCATTTCTATAACTTATGAGTTTTAATGATTTTAATGGAAAAGACTCTTGGAATTCCATAACTTGAGGACAAGTTATGGAGTCCATTAAAAGGCATTTAGATCACCAATTAAACTAACAAGCATGTCAAATAATTTCTATGATCTAACAAAACTCATAAGCATGCATAATTCATATCAACATTTTTCAAGAATCATATGAACTTAATATAAAACTTGAAACTTTGACAATTATCTTTGAAATTGGATAAGCACAATCATTACCACATCAAAAACAGGTTTAACAATCTAAACAGTTTAGGGTAATGATCCTAGTCCAATTCCAGCATTGAAACTCGAAATTCTGCACTCAAGGCCTCCAACTCGTCAAGTGCATGAACCAACTCGACAAGTTTGATGAATTTGAACATGGACTCGTCGAGTCCCTCCAATGGACTCGACGAGTTGACTGAACAGTGAGCAGAAAATCGACTTTTTCAGCAAGTAGCATCAAATATAATTGAAAACAATCCTAGGCTCTGATACCACTGTTAGGTTATGAGCATTCTAACACACCTATGGTGTGCATGCAACCCTAGAAACCTTGGATCTATGTTTTCTCTATTATACATGCAAACTATCATTTTTCCAAGGTTTCATCCTAACTAGCATATCATGGGGTATATGTAATACAAAATTCTAGTAGAATGACATACCTTTCTTGTAGCTTTGATTCCTTAAGACTTTGTGAGCCTAGCACCCCAAATTATGATGCCTCAAATGCTTCACACAACACCACCAACAATTGGAATAACTTGAGAGAAGATTATATTGCACCAAAATCGACTAGCCCTCACTTGTGTATCTTAAGTGCCGATTTTGCTAGTATGAGGCTTCTTTATATAGTGTGCAAATTAGGGTTACACCATGTAACTCATGACTTTCCACATTCCTCATGATCCATGGGTTTTAACCTCCATGGAGTATCCATGGGTCACCACATGGGTTTAGCCCAACATGAAGAACTATGGATCATAAGCCCACTATATAAGAATGAATGATTTACCAAATCAATCCCCATTTATTTAATTAGTCTTTTTTGATTTCCAAATTATTTCCAAACTAATTCTTGATCCATACTAATTAAATAATATGATTTCATCTTAATATATTAGAACTTATCATATATTAATAAATCATAAATATCCTCTTCTCACAAAAATCTATCCAAATTGTTCTGATGTCATGCAACCCAAATGGTCCATGCTAAATCGAGTCAAGTACATACCAAATATAGTTATGGACTTAGACACCTTATCCAACAGATGAGTCAACTACACACTAGATTGTTCTCCATGATATCCGGTTAGGGGGTTACCCTTAGTGAAACATGTCACACGTGACTATTAGCAGTATGTACACGCCAGTTTATTTCGATTGTTAGACAAAACCGCACCATTACAATCGGTTAATGCATTTCAGTAACCATTGACCATTGGGTACCGGTGAGTAATGGTTTCGGTCGAAATCTTTGGTTATTGGGTAACATCGGTTAATGATAATGATACACAAATTACATAAAAAAATAGAAAATACATTTCTAAAAAAATGAAAAAACAAAAAGTAGATTGTCAAAACATTAAAATGAAATCAGAAAGTACTGTGTTGTTAACTTAGTTGTAATCTTTCGGTTGTTAATTTAGACACCTAAAAACCACCATACATTTCTTTCCAACTTCTTAAAAAGTTTAGTAGATGTCAACAAAATTAGTCCAATATATGCTCGATAGATATTAAACATTAATAAATAACCCTATTATAATAATTTTTATTAGAAATTATTATCTTCTCCGACAACCAAAACTTTATATTTATACGTATTAAGAACATACCCTCTTTTGTTAAATAGCAAATTTCATGGAATTTTTATTTATTTAATATTTATCCATAACTTACAATTTATATACAATTAAATATAAGACTTCGGTTTGGCCTATAGTGGATCAATTTCCATATAAAACCTTAACAAAACCATTACTTATCAGTTAACAAAAAAATAAATTTTAATGATTGGGTTTAAAAATGGTTTGGTTTTTATGGTTCGATTGTATCGGTTAATTCGGTTTTGCTTTGGAATTTCTTTTCCGTTATTATGCTTGCAGTAGCAACTACGATTGAGAAATTACCCCTCCAAGTGTAGATTTCAAGAATTAACAAGCAAAAAACTATGAACATAGAGGAATTTATGGTTCGTCTCTATATTGAAGATGAGGAAGAAAAATGATCTAAATAGTAGCTACTTGTCTGCTTTGGCAAAAGAAAATTTGTCTTTGATTATAAATATTGTTTGCATAGATCAACCCTTGTTTTCAATAGAATAACTCGTTCTATTGAAAGACTTTTGTGAATTTGATGATTGAGATGTCGTGTTCTTCGATGAAATAGCAGCAGATTATATACAAATTTGCAGAGTAAATCAACAAATCACTAAATTAAAATCCACTGTCCATGGGATAAATATCTCTTAAATTCATCGTTTGCTGATCCGCTAAAGATAATATAAATTCATTTGCCTTAATAAAATTGATCTCACGTGAATAACTAACATATACTAGCTCTGTACATGATGATGCTAATTTAGTTAATCGATCTTACAAGCAATATTATCCTAAGACTTGAGATCATCGGGATCCATATGAATAATATTCATCATCGTGATTTCCTTCATCAAAATTGAGCGAGTAACTAACAGCATCATACTGGAAGATCAAAGGCTTCGAAGATCCGTATATGCTGTTTTTGCTTCCTTCGATCACCTTCTTCATGATCTTCCTCCAATTCCGGCTCCTTCGTACACTGCCACTGTTAATTTGTGTACAGTCTTCCTGATCGGAGATTGAAGAAGTCGACGCACAGTCAGAAACGTTAGATAATCGTCCTTCAATGGCAGCGCTGCACGTAAGGTTAATTATGGTGGCCATCTCGTTTTGGAGAGAGATGAGTTCTTGTTTCTTGTGAGTTGTGAATTGCGAATTCTGATGATGAATGGAAGTTTAGTTAGAGGAAGAGGAGACTTTATAGTTGGTGTAGGAGGGGGTATTTGTTAATCTTAAGAGTGTGTAGTGTACCTTTAAATCTTAGGTGTAAAGAGGTGTTACAACGTAAGTCGGCAATCTTTACACATAAATTTACATCGTTGATTAGTCTTGACTCAAGAAGAAAAAGATTGTTGAATACACGTCATAAATCTTATCTTATAACATAACTTTTACAAAAGACAGAGAATTCGTCTTTTGATGTCATTGTTTGCCAAATTATCCACTCACAATACACGAAAAGATGTCAATAGATTTTATTAAGTATGCAACTTTATTCTTCAAGGATCCGAGGAGTCAGTTGGCTTCAAAAGTAGTAAGAACATATGACATGTCCTCAAATGGGGAAGTGTTGTGCCTTTTTTTAACATGTTATATACCATTAGCAAGATGTACTTGTATTTTTTTGGTTTTGATTTTTTGGAAACAACTCATGATTTCCGTCAAATTTTATTTAGTGAAACTGTGTTAGGCAAAGGTGTGAGCTTTCAATTCGATGATTTTTCCGTTATCGTGTATATCACTTTAAGTTTTGTAGAGACTTGACATAAATTCCATTAACCAAAACCACAACTGGATCACAAATTGTGGTTCAGATTTTATAAACTAAAACAAGTCACTTTCTTCAACTACAAAATGCTAAATCTTGTGTTAAAAATGGTGGTAGTTGGCAGATCCTAAGTTTTTTTTTTTTTTTTGAACGGCTCATATATTAAGCATAAAAAAGGGAGAAATACATCATTCAAACCAAGATAATAATTTAAACTTTGATTTTTGTATAAGCCAATTAAACGCATGCAACAAGTTGAATGTCATCCGCCGTTTTCGAAGGGGCACATGATATTCTCTTATTAAACACCAAAAGATTTCGGGCTTTCCAAACTAGCAAAATCACTGAGTAAATCGACACCAAAGTTGCAGAATATATCAACAAATCATTAAATTCATATCCACACTCCATGGACTAAATCTCTTTAAATTAACATAAATTCATTCACCTTCATAAAATTGAACTCAGTTGAATTAATAACACATACTATCTCTCTGTACATGATGATACTACATTAGTTAATCGATTATACAACCAATATTATCCTAAACCTTGATATCATCGAGATCCATAGAATAATATTCATCATCTCGATTTCCATCATCAAAATTCAGCGAGTAACTAACAGCATCATACTGGAATATCAAAGGCTTCGTAGTTCCGTATATGCTTTTTTTGCTTCCTTCAATCACCTTCTTCATGAGCTTCCTCCAATTCCGGCTCCTTGGTACACTGCCACTGTTAATTTGTATGCAGTCTTCCTGATCGGAGATTGAAGAAGTTGATGTACAGTCAGAAACGTTAGATAATCGTCCTTCAATGGCAGTGCTGCTGGTAAGGTTAATTGTGGTGGCCATCTCTTTGGATAGAGAAGAGTTGTTGTTTGCTGTTTGTTGTGAATTGTGAATTATAATGGTGAATGGAAGTTTAGTTAGAGGAAGAGGGAACTTTATAGTTGGTGTAGGAGGAGGTATTTGGTAATTTTTAGAGTGTGTAATGTACCTTTAAATCTTATGTGTAAAGAGGTCGTTAGAACGTCAGTTGGCCATCTTTACACATTATTTTTGGGACTCTGTAATATTTTGACTGGAAATCTTGAACCATCATATTCTAATTTTTCTTTTGTAATGGATTTTTAAAAGAACGTAGAGTGATCTGAAATATGTGTTATCTTCGGTTTTTAGTCCATGTGCATAGTCTAAAGATTCCTAGCGAAATTTCGCTTTAAATTTACATCATTGTTTAGTCTTGATACAAGAAGAAAACAGATCGTTGAATACACGTCATAAATCTTATCTTATAACATAACTTTTACAAAAGACATAAAAACAAAAAGATCATTTTCCTTCGTCCTTTACTTTTGATGTCATTATTTGCCAAATTATCCACTCAGAATAAAAGAAAAGTTGATTTTATTTAAGTATCTAACTCTATTCTTCGAAGATTCGAGGAGTCAGTTGGCTTCAAAAGGATTAAGAACATATCACATGACTTCACATGGAGAAGTGATATGCCTTTCTGAACATGGTATATATAGCAAGAAATGTACGTGTAATTTTTGGTTTTGATTTTTGTTTCCTACGGAATTAATTTTCAGTTACGTATCTTTTGTAAAAAAAAATATCTCTCGTCCACATGCACTGTTGACACTAAAATTTACTTTGGATTCCATTGTCTTCCTCCTCCAACTATTGTTGTCTTGAAGATTCTATCACTTTAATATCTAAGCAATAAAGCCATGTTCGTGATGGCTAATCTCCCAAAAAAACAGATACACACTTTATAAAAGAAATCCAAGTAATACCGGCGACGGTATTACCGGCAAAATAGGCTTTACCGACGACATCTGAGTTCCGTATTTAGATGTCACCGATAAAGCCTATTTCGCTGGTAACACCGACGCTAAAGCCGATCGCCACTAAAGCCGATGCGACTACATAGGGAGTTTTTTCCCCATTTCTCAGTTTACGCAAATATCTCCTAAAATATTCTTGCAAATATCTCCTAAAATATTCTCTTCTCTGGTAATTTCGACGAAGAGAATTGGGTTCTTGCTAGAGGAAATCACGAGGAGCACCCATGATTTTCACCACCATGACACATGAACCATTGGGGTGTATTATACCGGCGACGACTATCATTTTTCTGGCAACAAATTGACCACAACACCCGCGACATTTGTAATTCTCATCCCTCCATTCTTTATATCCTTTTCTCTGACCAAAGAAAACAAGTTTAATTGGTCGTTCTTTGCGTTTTCAGCCAGTGTCTTCTCCCTCTCCGACGACTACACAACTGTTGCTTCTCCTTCTCCGACGACTGCCACCACAAGAACTGCTCTCATTCTTGATTTCAGGTTAGTGATTGTGAGTTTTTTTAAATTTTGTTCATAAACAGATGTGTATCAGTTTAAGGGTGAACATATATAGGCTTAGGTTATTCTATTCAAAGTAATTATTGTGTTATTGTATGCATAAATGTGGGCCAATCAAATTTACTTATTTTAAGAAAATGATTGATATATATTATTGAATTAAATATAATTGAAAAATATCATCTTAATTAATTACAAGGGTAATTTAGTCAATTAATATAGATTTAATAAAGGAAATTGCATTTTTAAGGGATCATAGATTCTATTAATTTTAAAAATCCAATTGTACGAATTATAATTTTTTTAATTCGGATATTCTGACAGAATATGTTTATGAGTATATTCAAAAATAAAAATATTCTTGAACCATAAATAATAAAAATATTCTTGAACCTATTTCTTGATCATGACTTTAAAAACTTCTTGTAGAATAACAAATTCTTGAACAATCAATTGACGAATATAAACAAAAAATACATTATTTCTTATAGAATACGGGTAACAATTGTTAAGAATTACATTTATTGTTAAAGAATAAAACTAAAAAAAACTTTCAAAACGGGAAAGAAAACATCAAAACTAACAACGACACTAATACATTTTAAAAGAATAATGTTGCTTAAAATCACTTTCAATTTTGTGGTCCGTTCTTCAAGCATCAACTTCTGTGAAAACAAAACAAAATTGTAGCTTAGATTCCAATAATGCATTAGCAAATGAAAAATAAAAAACTAAATTCCTTTGGAAAAAGATGTGGACTTGTGAATTGCACCAAAACCAATAAACAAGAATTGTAGAACATGCATAAATCAGTGAGAAAAATATCCATACTCCATTCCAACAGAATTGGAATTCATGATTCCATTCCAACAGAATTGGAATTCGTGATTCCTTTTATCTTCTTCATGTCAATCTCAAGAATTGTACCACACATTTATGTTTTCTTTCCCTTAGATCACAATGTACTCCATATCTATCAAAATTCACAACTATACAATAAGATCATCAAGAGAATTGATTGTTTTTTATCTATTTAACTAGTAAAACCCAATCAAAAGAAACATACCCAATCAAAGAAGAGATCATCACCATTGTTCTTCATTCTCTTTTCTGTCAAATGAATCAAACCTGGCCACAAAACAGTCAATCAGCTTGAGGATTAATAAATTAAGTATCAAGAACCTATAAACAATATTGTTTATTGGTTCATTTAAAGAAAATAAAAAAGGAGATGAGAGGGAAAAGGTTGTCTTTGAACACTCTCCCGGGGTCGTTGTCGCTTCAATCGAACCAATGCTCACACCCATCTCTTCTTTTTCTCTACACAAACACCAACGGATTTCCTCCCCGTTCGCCCCTTGCTACTGGAAACGAAGCAAACAGTCGAGAGGCTGCTTGAGTCCTCGTAACACCCAAAGAAGCCACAACAGCCTCATTGCGATTACCGTTTCCTGTCTTCGGCCTCATCGAGCCCCGGAGATGACCATTCTCCTCCCGATAGATCGTTCAATCGCTGCCTTATGTCGCTTCCTCCACTCGCAATCGATCGGCAAATCATTGTGCCGTTTGTGAGCATTCGTTGTGTCCGTTCCGTTCATAAGCCACCACTATGAGCGATCGATTACCACCACCGGAAACGCAACCTCAGCCTTCCACCAATCGACAGAACCCCCAAACGATTCCTGATCCCGATTTCTTAGGTCTCCGTGAACTGCTCTCGTTGGAAATGCAACTTCGTCCATCTTTGCACGATCAAAAGGAACACGGGTTTAAAAGCCCTAATCTTTTAAGTGGATCCACTTGTTGAAAGCAAAGACACCCTTATTTATTTAGGTTATAAATCAATACCATGATTATAGGGATTATTTTTGGAAGTTACTAAACAAATTACTAAATTACCCTTATTTATTTATTTAATTATTTAATTTTTTATTTAATTTTGATTGGCCCACATTGATGCATACAATAACACAATACTCACTTTTAATACCTGAACCTAGCTCTATATATATATATATATATATATATATATATATATATATATATATAATATATATATAATATATAATATATATATGTGTTGTGTGTGTGTGTGTGTGTGTGTGTGTATGTGTAACATTTATATATTTAGTATATGTGTACGTGTATTTGGTAACAAATGTATGTGTATTTTGTATATGTTTATGTGCTTTTTGTAAGAGTGAATATTTATATGTATATGTGTATCACTGTATTGGTATTTTTATTTGGTATGTGTATATGTGTATATGAGTATTTGTATATATTGTGTATATATGTATATGTATGATGTACATATACGTGTATTTGTATGAATAAAGAATTTATGTGTATAATGCAAGTATATATATATATATATATATATATATATATAATATATATATATATATATATATAATGTGGTGTGTGTGTGTGTGTGTGTGTGTATTGTATGTATATTTGTGTATATTGTATGTATGTATATAATGTACGTATGTGTACGTAACTTGTATCTATATGTGTGTAAAATATGAAAAATAATCGTAGGCTTAGAGATGTGTTAACTTGTTATGACTTAATTAGGCAAGCCTCAAAACTACATAGTATGTAAAGTACAATGTTATAATTGGAAAAATACAAAAAAACTAGGATATTATAATTCAAAATGACATTTAAAATACAATGTTTTAATTGAAAAAACAGAAAACCGTAGGATGCTACAATTCATAATGTCTTTTAAAGTATAATGTTATAATAGAAAAAAAAAACAATATAAGTACAATGCCATAAATAAAACAACAAATATGAAAAAGTATAATGTCATAATAGAAAAAAATATATAATATTTAAAGTGCAATGTTATAATAGAAAATTTAAAACAAAAGTAAGATGCTATAAAAATTAAAAATATGGAAAAGTAAGATGTTATAAATAAGAAAAATATGCTACAATTCTATTCGTTTATGTCTCTTCGTTTTAATAATCTTGAGCTTAAAAAACCCGCTCTAAATTGATTTAGAAATTAATTTTGGGTAGCCCCCATGATGGGACAACTTTTTGAATATTTTTATCTCATTTACAATGTGAACATGTATTATATGATTGTTTGTTTAGGACAAATTTAATTGTCATTTTCTCTTTACTCTTTGGGTGTATACTTATATATACTTGGGAGCTAAGGGGGAATGCTACATAATTTTTCTTAAACATGTATTCATGTAATACATGTTCACTTATGAGATAAGGTATTCAAAAAGTGGGTTTAGAAGTCTACACTTATGAATACTCTACTTAATTTCCGATGAATACTTTATTCAATTCATGTTTCTCGTAGAGTAAAGTTTAAACCGAACGTAACTTTATTCGGGTATACTTTTTAAATAATCTACTTTTGTAACGTCCCAAAAATCACAATAAAATTTTTCATTCTCAATTAAAGTAATATCATTGTTTCCATCAAAACCCTAGTCATAAGAAACCAAGTAA